GGGATTATTGAAATTTGATTATGTTAGAACAAGAAAAAGTAGCTCGCGCGAGCTCATGTAACATAAATGTTGAAAAACCATTGGTTTTGTGGGATTCGGACAGCGCGCGCGGAAGGACATTTGGACAATTTTTTCTTAAAAAACCATTGGGTTTTTGATGTTTTTATGGCGGGCCCAGCCGCTCCCGGCGGGCTGCCCAGCAGTAGATGGCGTCAGCGCCGAGGGAGACGGGGTGAGAAGACTGCCCCCCAGAGATGCAGACGGTCAGCCCCACCAGATGCCAGGCGATGCAGGGGGGGCTGGCGGGCCAGTCGCGAGCGGAACACGGAGGCCACGCTAGCCGTGTTCTGTCCACCCTTCACGGAGACAGGCGCGTTCGTCACGCAGTGGCGCGTCACCCCCCCGCCAAGACGCCCCCGTCCTTGGAATGACGTTGTCACTGGCGGCAGTGCGGCCGCCGGCCGCCCCCATCCTACTAATCTGTGCCCAGCGGCTTGCGGCTGCACCTCCTCCTTCCCCTCCCCCCTCATTGGCACTCGTATCCAGCGGCTTCTGGCTGCGCCCCCCCCCTGCCCACCAGCGCCATCGCATTGCGCAGGCCGCAGGGGCGCGTCTGCCCTGGGACCTGCCCCAGGACCAGCGGCCCCTCCTTCGTCGCCGACCCGGCCATGGTTCTACTACAAGGGCGTCTTGAACGGTACGGCCCGGCAGCTCTGCAGCTGCCGGCTATCGGTTCGCGCTGGCGTCGGAGGTATTCAGGCTTCTGCGCGGGCAGCGGGACAGGTGTGGAGTGGGTGCGGCTGCGCGCTCCCTCACCCATGGCGATTGGTTTCGTTGAAGCGAACGGCCCCGCACTGAGTGGTTCAGCCTTCTGCGGTCCGAGTTCGTTTCGCTCTTCTCGGCGCAGCCACAGCCGCCAGCTCCGCGGCAGTGCAATTGCATCGTTGTGCCCCCGAACAGCGCGATTTCGGATGCGATGCGAGGGCACAGGCCCGCCGGCTGGAGGTTGAACAGCTACGCGATTGCACGCCAGTGGTCTGCCTCCCACTGGCTCGGTGCTCGGACGCGGATCAGCCGCACCCCAGCTACAGCGAGCTTTGGTGAGTCGGGTCCCCCCTGCCGCACCATCGTCCGCACGTGAAGGTGCAGTGTGTCTGGGTTAGTTGCCCTCGCTCGCACCCCAGCTACAGCGAGCTTTGGTGAGTGGGGTTGCCCTGCCGCACCATCGTCCGCACGTGAAGGGGCAGTGAGTTCGAGGTTCAGTTGCTCTCGCCCGCACTCGCATCCTTTTTCTGAGGCCCGCTGGACAGCCAGGTTCAGTGTGCACACACGTGGGCTTCGTTTGGTCGGGTTGGTCGCTCGGACTCGCGTTCTGCCCGCGGCATGGCGCAGTGTCTTGCTGTCCGTTCAGGCCTCGCTTACGGTGGCGGTTCGGCTGGAGCTTGGCGCCGCAAGGGCGACTTCTCCTCCCGCCCCCTCGAATTCAGTTCATTTTGTTCCGTGCACGCGCACCTGCGTGCTTCCTCGCAGGAACGAGTTTCGCCCGCCACTGCGGCGGCAATCTTCTTGTTAATTCGTAGGTACCGCGCCCCGGACTTACATGTCCGCATACACGCATACACACGTGCACACATGCACGCATGCACACATGCACACATGCGGCGCACATGCACATTCGCACACGTGCGCACTCACACTCACACTCACGCTCACACGCACACTCGCACTCACACTCACACTCGCACTCGTGCACGCACGCGCACGCGCGCACGCGCGCACACAACACGCACAACACACACACAAAACACACAACACACAACACACACATCACACACAACACACAAATATACACAACACACAAGACACACCACACACAACACACACAACACAACCACACACGCTCACCCACCCACCCACCCACCCACACCCACACACCACCCACCCACCCGCACACACACACACACACCCACACACCCACACACTCACACGCACGCACACACACACACGCGCACACACGCACACGCACACGCACACGCACGCGCACACGCACGCGCGCGCGCACACGCACGCGCACATGCACAAGCACACGCACACGCACACGCACACGCACGCGCACGCGCACGCGCACACGCACACGCACACGCACGCGCACACGCACACGCACCCACGCACACACGCACCCACGCACCGACGCAACCACGCACGCACGCACGAACGCACGCACGCACACGCACGCGCACACGCACACGCACGCGCGCACGCGCACGCACACGCACACGCACACGCACACGCACACGCACTCGCACACGCGCGCGCGCACGCACACGCACACGCGCACGCGCACGCGCACGCGCGCGCACACGCACGCGCGCACGCACACGCCACACGCACACGCACACGCTCACGCACACGCACACGCACACGCAACACGCACACGTACACGCACACGCACACGCACACGCACACGCACACGCACACGCACACGCACACGCACACGCGCACGCGCACGCGCACGCGCACGCACGCGCACGCGCACACGCGCACGCGCACGCGCACGCGCACGTCCACGGGCGCACGAGCGCACGCACACGCGCACGCGCACGGGCGCGCGCGCACGCTCACGCTCACGCGCACGCGGACGCGCAGGCGCACGCGCGGTCGCACGCGCACGGGCGCACGCGCACGCGCACGCGCACGCGCACGCGCCACGCGCCACGCGCCACGCGTCGTGCGCGTGCGCGTGCGCCCCCCCCCCCCACACACATACACACAGACAGACAGACAGACGGACAGGCGGACAGACAGACAGACAGACAGACAGACAGACAGACAGACAGACAGACAGACAGACAGACAGATGGACACAGACACACACACACACATTCACACACAACCACACACATTCACACACAATCACACACAAGCACACACACACACTCACACCTACTCACACTCACACTCACACACATACACACATACACACGTACACACATACACACATATTCGCACACACACACACATACGTATACATACACACATACACACATACACACATACACATACACACATACACACATACACACATACACATACACATACACGTACACATACACATACACATACACACATACACACATACACACATACACACATACACACATACACACATACACACGTACACACATACACATATTCGCATACACACATACACATACACACATACACACATACACACATACACACATACACACATACACACATACACACATACACACATACACATACACACACACACACACACTCACACCTCCCGCCCTCATTGTGCCACGACGCGAGCGTTCTCTGGGGCCTCTCTGGGGCCTCTGGGCGGTATCTCTGGGACCTCCTGGGGCACTACGGAGGCTTATGCGGTCCCCTTGGGGTCCTCTGAGGGGCCTCTTGGGGTGGGGGCTTTTTGGGGGTACCTTGGGGCCTCTCGGGGGCCTCTTGGGGGCCTCCCGGGGTCCCCTGGGGGCCTACAACTCGACACGTCCGTTCGCGTCCCCTGTCTGGGCCCGCTCTTGGAGCCGTCTTTGGGGCGCTCTTGGAAGCTTCTTGGGCCGTGTTGGGGCGATTTTGGGGGTTTCTTGGGCTGTCTTGGTGCGCTGGGAAGCCGAAAAGACGGAAACGCCAAAAGTTCAAAAACCGATGGGGCATCACAAATTTGTATTTCTGGAGACTATCTGGGAAGGTCTCTTGGAGGCCTCCTTGGGGCGTCTTAAAGGCGTCTTGGGCCGTGTGGAGGCCATCCTGGAGTCTTGGACCGGTCGTTCAGTGACTCGGAGCCCTCTTGGACCATCTTGCCTTGGGGGCCATGGGGGCCCTCTTGGAGCACTCCTAGAGCGCTCAGCGGGAGCCTGCCAGGCTACAGTCCGGCTGCTCCCATGGTACTTTGGGTCCAGGGGCTCCCAGGGGCCGCCCCGTCCGCGTGAACTACACATATTGTTATCCAATTGCTGGAGATCTTAGATATGTTGCCTTTTTTGGCTCAAGTGGTTTTAGGCCAAGTACGAATTTTGGCCTAACGCTGTGACTGCACCGCCTTCTCTTCTACAGCTTACCTCTTGCTAAGATGGCCTCTCCAACGAGGTGTGGAACTCAGTGGATCCAAAGAGGCAGCCCCAACGCCACTTGCAACGATTGCGGCTTCTTCGGCCCGACCGGAATGCTCAGTGGTGGCAGTCAGGGTGCCTCTATGACAACGTCAACCATGGATACATACGGATCTCTCGCAGCTTACCTCAACGTGGCCTTTCACGCATCATGCCAAGGTTCAGATCGCAGCTACGCGTCGTTGCCGAGCATACGCTCAGTGCCCACCATGCAGGAGGCCACCATGGAGCTGGTCCCCACCATGCAGTCTGTGCCGCCCTGCCAGGAGAGCGACGGCGAGCCATGGGGGACTGACGACGAGTTCGACCACCCGCAGCGGGCTCCGGAAGCGCTGGTTGGACACGCACATCTGAGGGGCTGAGGCCCCACGCGCCTCCCTTCACGGGACGGCCTCCGGGCCGATGGTGCGCGCTTCTTCTTCTTCTTCTTCTTCTTCTTCTTCTTCACCCGCCGCGGGCTCGGGCGAGCGGCAGCCGGAGGCGGCTGCGCACCCGAGAACCCACCCGAGAACGGGCAGGGCTCCGCCTGGGCGGGCGGCGTCGGCGCCCCGCCGGCTGCTCGCGGGCGGCCGCCGCTTCGGCCCGGCGCCGCCCGGCGCCGCGGCGTCGAGGGGGCAGCGCCGCCCCGCTCGCCGAGCCATCCGCCCGGCGTGCCGCCGCGCCCCGCCGCGGGGGCGGCGCTCGCTGGGCGGCCCCCGGGCGACCGGGCCGGGCAGGCGCAGCCCGCCCGCGCCTCGGCCACGGCCACCGGCCACGGCACCGGCCACGGCCACGTGCCAGGCCACGGCCACGGCCACGGCCACGGCCACGGCCGGGCGCGGCCGCGCCCGGCCGGGGCCGCGCGGCCCGGGTGGGGCGGCCGGCAGGCGCAGGGCGGGCTGAGGCTCGGGCCGGGCGAAAGGGAGGGGTTGGGGAAGGGCCCGGGGGGGTACGAAATTTGCTGCATGCAGCTGGTTTCGGCCCCACCGAGGGGCCCATTCCTCGATACATAGCCGCCCCCGGCGCCGGGAGGCGCTGGGAAAATCAGCTACGTGAGCTGATTCTCAAACCCCCCCTTTGCTATCCCCCCTTTCGCCCGACCCGAGAGGCCGCCCGCGGCGCGCTGGGCGGCCGCCAGCAGGGCGGTGGAGAGGCAGCGGGCCAGGCTCTCGGAGCAGGAGCATTCGGTGGCAGATCATGGGGGTCTTTGTGTACCTTCGCAGTTCTGTCTTTAGCGTCGATTAGCTTCTGATGGGCGTCTGGGAGTAGATGAGGTAGCTGTGATTTAACGTCGGTTGGCGTCGGTTAGCGTCGATTTAGCCCCGATTTAGCGTCGACTAGCGTCGATTGGCGTCGACTCGCAAGAACCGACAAGGTGGTATGGGAGGCTCCCATGAGTTGCCACAGAAGGAAGAGCTGCTGGCAGAGCTCCAGCGGCAGGCTCAGGAGATCAAGCAGAGCATTCTATTCTCCAGCAGGAGGCCGACCTGGTGGAGCTGGAGCTTCAGCAGGGTGAGATCGTGGGCAACGTGCTGGTGCCGATCGACAGGGCAGCGCCCGCCGCCCCTAGCGCTCCAGACGTCACTACGCTCATGGTCCGCAACATTCCGATGGCTGTGACGCAGAGGAATTTGCTTGACCTCATCGATAGGTCTGGCTTCGCGAACCTCTATGACCTCGCCGATTTACCAACCGACTTCGACGCCGGGACCACGAAAGGGCACGCGTTTGTCAATTTCGTCAACCCCAGTGACGCCTGGGAGTTCTCAGAAATGTGGAACGGGGCGCGGCTGACTGGGGCTGGACCCGTCGCGGCCGTTCTCGAGGTCGGAGCGTCACAGCTGCAGGGCTATAAGGAGAACGCCAGGAGGTGGAGCGCGAGCCGGCTGCGCCGCACGAGGAACCATGAGCTCCACCCGTTCATCGCCCAGAGGCTGGCTGCTGGGTGAATGTTCGGTTGCACCAATTCCTTGTTGTAGGCGACTCGGGAGGGGCGGGGGTCAAGGGCGCCGACAGGGAGAGGGTCACGAGCTCACCTCCACTGCATCGCTCGTCTACGGGAGAAGTGCCCAGAATATCTCGAGGAGATCGATGACATTGATTGGGGTCGATGTCAAGCGGTGATCCTTTCCCTCCCTCCTGTCTGGTGCTTATGCTGTACTCAAGACGCTCGCTGCTGCGTGGACCTCGGACAGTCGCATTCAGAAGCATTCACCGTGTCTCCTTGGCTGCCCGAGCTGCGCTGAGAGATTCTGGCACTCCTGGAGGTGCCACAGGTTGGCTGGTCACTTCTCGATTCCCATCCTCTCGCCTGCTGCGGCGTGCTCAACTCCGCCCATGCCTCGTTCGCCACCCCCGTCGCCGCCTGCTTCCCTCGGAGCGCTCTCCGTCCTCTCGCTTCTGCTGCCCAGCCGAGCCTTCGCCCCAGACGAGCCCAGGGCGTGGTCAGAGCTGACAGGTGTCCCGTTTGGCGGCCCACGTGCGGCGGCTCTTATGGCTGATGAGCCAAGGTGCGCTCCCCTGGGGGGCGCCCGAGGAGTTCGGCGGGGAGGAGGAGGAGGAGCGGAGGAGGAGGAGGCGGAGGACGAGGAAGACGCCACGCAGCGCGGCCCGGTTGACGACCCCGCGCCGTCGCGGCCAAGAGCTGGCCCCCCACCAAGCAGGCATCCCAGCCGAGCTGCGCGAGCTGGGCCACGAGGTGCGGGGGTGGGGAGGAGGAGGAGGAGGAGGAGGAGGAGGAGGAGGAGGAGGAGGAGGTGGGAGGAGGAGGAGGAGGAGGCTGGGAGGAGGAGGTGGGAGGAGGAAGGAGCAGGGAGGAGGAGGAGGAGAGGAGGTGGGAGGAGGAGGGGGAGGAGGAGGAGGAGGAGGTGGGAGGAGGAGGAGGAGGAGGAGGAGGAGGAGGAGGACCTCATGGGCGCGGAGGAGTGCGCTCCGCGCCTCGCGGCCCGGGGCTGCGCAGCCGCCTTCCTCCAGGGTAAGCCTCTTCGAGAGCGCGCGACGCTTTCAGGGCGCGAAAACGGGTCGCTGGGCACGACGCTCCAGGGCAGGTGGCTGAGATTCTGGCAGCGAATGGTTTTCTGAATCCTCTTCTTTTTCACGGACCTGCACTCGCGGTGTGCTCTTGGCATCGCTCGGACGTGTGGTTTTTTTCCTTCGGCGAGAACCATCGAGGAGCATCATTGATCACTTGGCGAAAAAAGCACGCAGGAGACCGACCACAAAAACAGGACATGGACGTCCAAGCGATGGCCAGGGACAGGTGGCCGATGCTGGCAGCGAATATATTTCTGAATCCGCTTTTGTTCACGGGCCTGCACCCGTGGTGTGCTGGTCCTGCCTCGTGAGCGCGACTCTGGGCGAGTAGCTCAACGGCGTTTCAAGTGCTGCACGAGACAGGTTAGTTGCGCCCCTTGACGTCCGTTTGGGTTGTTCTGCAGACCTGACCCCCCAGCCCTACTCAACTCCCCCCCGTAGCCCAACCCAGTGGCAGAGACGGCGCCCGCCTTCAGAAACGCCCAGAGGAGGCGCCAACTCGACCCCGACACTCTGGTCTCGCCAAGTCAACGGAGGGCATGGCTCCCGGGGCTTCCTTTTGTGAGCCACGGCGGCAATATTTGGGTAGCTCCCGCTGTTCCTTGGCGACTACAGTCTCATTGCTCGTCGCGCGTCGCGTTCCAGGCTGTGCATATGCCCTCATCCAAGTACGTGTAAGTTAGGCTGCCGCATCTTGGATCGAAGCATCCCGACGTCATTGTTCCCGTCCGATACTGATTTTTAGGCACGATTGTGCAAACATCATAAGAAGAGACACCGAGTTTGCCTCATGAGGGCATAGCTCCTAGATCTTCTTTCTGCATGCTTCCTTGGTCTTGCTCCTCGCCTCCTCCTTTTGCCGCTCTTCTTTCTATGGCGGCCTGAATTCATTCGGAGTGGTCGACTCGATCACACGGTATGTCATTTGACAAGTCGCATTTGAATTTGACACCCTCTTCGAAGACATGTGATGAGGTTTTGCATGTGGGCGCCATTGCCTGCATAGCATCATGACGTACTTGCGTCTCGTTCCGCCTGTCATACTCAAGCAAAACATCCACCTGCAGGAGACCATCATCCGATCTGCCGGCATCAGAAACAAATTACAGGAGATTTGAGTATGCCTGTGGCCAGTTGGGCCGGTGAATTAAAAACAGGTGTTTCGTTTCCTCGGGTTCTCCTCGAGGGCCTCTCGGAGCCCTCCGCCCTCAGCCTGTCAGCTTTCCCGCGCAGCCCCGCGGCTGCTTGGTGCGTGGGCCGGCCGGCCTGCGGCGCGTTTAGTAGCTAATTAGGCCGTTACCGTGTCCCGGGACGCTTCTGACTCCGCTTGCGCTCTCGCTGGCGGACGCGACCGAAAAAAGTATCCCCATCATGCTCCGGCCCACCGCTTTAGGTTAATTCGTCCGTGCGCGGCCCGCTCTGACTGGACTCGCCGCTGGCGCTCTCGCCTGCGGCCGCTGACCAAAAAGTACCCCCACCATGCTCCACGCCACTGGGTTGGGAGTTTCGTTTCTGGTACTTCTTCTGAGTGGCTGCCCGCGCGCTCGCTTCGCTTGCCTCTTTTTTCTTGCTGCCTAGTCGCGGCCCGGCTAGTGTTCGGACGGCTTTCGACCTGCTTCGCGAGCCCGCAGACCAAAAAGTATCCCCACCATGACCCTTCTTCTTCTTCTTCTTCTGATTATTCGTCTTCTTCTTCTTCTCCTTCTTCTTCTACGGTAATTTAGCCCGTTGATCGTTCGCAGTGCACTGACGCCGCCCGACTTCTTCCTCGCCGCGGTCGCGATCAAGAAAGTATCCCCACCATGAGAGTTGATAGGGGGAGAGGGAGAGACACGCATAGTCAAACAGCGAGGCAGGCCAGCCTGGACGGCGTACTGGGGCCAAAAAAGAACCCTCTGACACATCGGGCCCCCTCCCCAACAAGAACCCAGGGAGGGGAGGGGGAGGGCTCCCCTCTCCGAAGGGAGGAGGGGTCGTGGAAGAGGAGAGAGACCCTCGTGAGACCCAGGGCTGGACCTAAACGGTGTTTTTGGTGATTTCGTGGGCCGTTTTCGTTTCGACTTCGTTTTGCGGCAAAGGTGGATTCGAAGACAAGAGCGAGGGACAACGACAACAGAACGAACACGAAGAACACCGTTTAGGTTCAGCCCTGGAGGAGGGGTCGTGGAGGAGGAGAGAGGCCCTCGTGAGATCACCCCGTCGCCCGGCGGGCTGGTGGGATCCCCGCGGCCGCCTCGGCCTCCGCGCCGCCCAAAACATAGACGGATGTGCTGTGTGCGGCGGCCGCCGCCCCCCCCCCGGGGGCGACGCGTGGGCTCTCCGACATATCCGACGGGAGAAGGAGGATCGAGGAGGAGGAGGAGGAGGAGGAGGAAGATCGAGGAGGAGGAGGAGGAGGATCGAGGAGGAAGAGGAGGATCGAGGAGGAGGAGGAGGAGGAGGAGGAGGAGGAGGAGGAGGATCGAGGAGGGGAGGAGGAGGAGGAGGGGGAGGAGGAGGATCTGTGCTCGGCGGCGGGCGCCTCCGGTGGCCGCACCGCCGTGGGCAGCGCTGGGATGGGCAGGTCCTCCTACAGGCGGGCTCTGGACGAGCAGTGAGTACCCCTCTCTGGATCTGCGCAGAAAGAATGGGTACAATGCCTCCTCCTCCTCCTCCTCCTCCTCCGCCTCCTCTCCTCCTCCTCATCCTTCTACTCCTCCTTCTCCCTTCCTCCTCCCTCCATCCTTCTATCCTCCTCCTCCTCCTCCTCCTCCTCCTCCTCCACCTTCTCCTCCCTCGCCTCCTCCTCCCTCCCTGAATGGGTACAGTGCCCAACAGCAGGCCAGTGGGGCCCCAGGCCTGCCCGGGCGGGGGCCCCGCGGGGCCCTCGGCGCGCGCCCCTCCCTCGTCGTCTCGGGCGCTTCGTCTCAGGTCGGGCGTGTGCATGCCGATGTTCGAGGAGAGACAAGCAGACGCCAAAAAAGACTCTGCGCTCTGGATCTGCGCTGGATTCTGCACGAGCGAGATGGGCACGGCAAGAATGGGTACAATGCCCAACAGCAGCTCCTGTTCCTTTTGCACAGGACTCGCCGTCGGTGTCGCCGCGGCCCGTGTCCGTCTGCGACAGAAGGCCGCCTGCCCAACAGCGGCCGCTGTTGGTTTGGGACAACATTTGCTGTTGGGCATTGTACCCATTTGTTCCGTACCCATTTCCGGCGTCCAAATGGATACCCGCTGGATCCAGCGCAGGATGCCCCTCTCTGAATCTCCCCTCTCCTGCAGAACGGACTCTAGATCTGCGCCAGATACCCCTCTCTGGCGCGCGGCGCGCGCCAGGGGCGGCGCCGGAGGCGGCGCTGGGGGGGTTCAGCGAGGATCCAAGAAATCCGCGCCGAGCGCAAAAAGTTTATGCTTACAGTGGGGGCCCATGCCAAGAAACACCCTGCTCGCCTCCAGGGTGCCCTGGTTTTTTTGGGGGTTCGATGGTTTCGCCATGGAAGGCGTGAGGTTCCCACACCAGAAATCAATGGACGTCCTGAGGTCTCAGGGTTGGGTTTCTTGTGGAAGGTTTCTTGTGGACGGGCCTTCGTTGTAGTCGAACATATTCAAACATTGTACAGCCATAGTCGAAACATCGTCCCAATATTGTTTTTTGGCTGCTCTTGAGTGTTCCTCCTGCAGCGGGACGTTCCCGATTTCAGGGTAGTGAGGCTGTGAGCGAGGAGGAGGAGAAGGAGGAGGAGGAGGGATGGAGGAGGAGGAGGAGGGATGGAGGAGGAGGAGGAGGAGGAGGAGGAGGAGGAGGAGGAGGGGGAGGAGGAGTGTGTGTGCTGTGTGCTCGGCTCGGCCGTGCGCCTCCGATGGGGGTGCACAGCGCCGGGCGGCGGCGAGCCCGGGAGGGAAGCCAGGGAGGGGGCGGGCCTCCTCCGGAGGCTCGGGGAGGCCTCCGGCCTCTCGCGACGCTGCGGGAGCCCTCTCCGAAGACGGAGACGGCCTTTCGGGAGGCCCGAGGGCTTCGGAGAGGCCCCGCCGCCTTCTGTCAATGGCAGAAAAATCGCCTCTGCCCTGGTTTACGAGGCGCTGTGCTCTGAAACTCCTGTGGGCTGACAGGGTAAACCCTGCGTGATGTGCCGCGTCTTGGCGGCTCTAGGCTTTGGGGGTTCCCAGGAGGTTTACAGACCACGCACTTGTAATCCAGGGTAGGGTCGTTTTTTCATCCCTCAATTCTGAGAAGGCGTGCCCCCTCTCACTCTCCCCCCGGGCGCGCCGCCGGTCATCCAGGTGGTCCTTCCGGTCGGAGCGAGGTATTAAGATCGAGGTCGGCTCGGGGAGGGCACCCTGACGTTCTTCGTGTTTGTTGGATGTCCTTGTGCATCCTGGGGAAGGATACCCTCGAATGTCTTCAGTTTTGCCGGCGGAGGGTTTCATATTCCTGAGGGATGTTCTTCTGTCCTAGGGCGGAGGAGGAGGAGGAGGAGGAGGAGGAGGAAGAGGAGGAGGAGGAGGAGGGCGAGGAGGATGACCGACCGTATCCGATGC